TCTCGCTAAAATCACCTCTATATCCATTCTTTACATTCTTCCATTCGTTTTATCTTTTACCTTCTAATTATTCATCGATTCTTTCGCATTCTTTCCTTCTATGCGCGTCTTCTCTAATTTAACCGATTAATCTCTTCTCCCCTTTCCAAAGCGCGCAGATCACACAAGAATCTCTCATCGTCTCATCATCGACCGTCTCGCGACAAATCGAAACCACCACGATATCCCCACGTTCCAAGCGAAAGCTTAGACACGCACCGGCGAAAAATTCAACCGGACACGTTGTACGAATATACCGTTGCGCTATGTAGATCTATGTAATTTGCCAGCCGACCTCTTCCCTCCTCCTCCCCTCTCGGATCCGGGGATCTGTAATTTTCGTCGATTTAATCCTGGCCGAGTCCGCTCGCTATTTATTACACTGTAATATTGAAATAAGCGGCTGACGAATAAGCGCATCTCCCTCCTCCTCCCCCTCCGCTCACCTCGGCCTCGCAGGTTTATGCGCGCCGAGGAAGCGCTCCGTCTTATGCGCACCGCAGCTGATAAGACCCAGAAAGCCATTAAAGCGTTGCCTTGATCAGCATTTAATGAAGAAAATCATAATAACGAAGCAGCTGCCTGCCCGCAACCCCCCACTCGCTAATCACGCAGCCGCTTCCTCAATTATCGACGCCGACGACCACGGGGATCGAAGACCGTGACTATCGTATCGAATTAAGGGGTATCGAAGGGGTGGGGTGGGGGCCTTTATTCGTGCCGAGATCTGCACGCGAACGGCGAAGGGCGGGGGGGGTGGCGATGGAAGGAGCCCCCTTTGTCGCGAGGATGACTCGAACGATTTTTTGTATTTCCATTTTTCCCGCTTTTCGATACTCTCGTCTTTGCGCTCGTAGGGGTCAAGAATTAAAATTTTTCGAATTTTTCCAAAGTAATTGGGGGAGGGGAAGAAGGGATCGTAGAGATATCTTTGTTCTTTTTGTAATTTGGTCGTTTCCAGAGTGACTCCAGTGAGATAGCTGGAGATGTTATTGTGTGTAATTGAAATTCAGACTGTTTCGAGTAGTAATTTATATCGTTCGAATTTTTTTTTTTTTTTTCTTTTCCTCTTTGGATCAGATTGCGAAGAATCGTGACGGAAAATTATTAATTACGATTTCTCTTTTTAATTTATTTAAGTTATTTCCAAGTATTATTGCAAGAAACTTTGTTCATTACCAGGCTTCAGATGGATGGAAACACGCATACGTGTATCATATGCGAGCATATCGATCGAACTTTGCTCCTATCAGGCGATCCTTGAACCGCATCACACGCATATGTATTACGACTTTCTTGAGATTTGCATCCTTTAAGTTACACTCGTTCCTAATTCGAGGTAACGTGTATCCATTATAAAAGTGACTCATCGAGTTCCACGTAACTAATTAACAGCGCAATCTTTCCCAGTCATCGTACAAAATTAATTCATATTTCAAGAAATTTTTCCACTGTCCACGATTAATAATCTATCCGCCGACTAATTTCATTATTTCATTATTTAAATAGATATATACACATAGAATAATACTTTTCGTTACACGCAAAAAAAAAAAAAAATAAAAAAAAATAAAAAAATAAGAAAGATAAAAAAAAGAATCGTCAAAAAATCGAAATTTTTATCAAATTTAAAATCTTACGAATTCTTTGTTTCATTCGAAACAAATCTTCCGTTTAAAAAAAAAAAACGACATATCTTTCTCCACAGCCATGCTTTTTCACGCGTTCGAATTTCGCATCGATTAACCTCGATCGTGAAAATTCGAAAAATTCTCTCCTCGATTCTGGTCTATCGAGGTAATGAACGCGCATAAAATCGTCTCGCTTACTCGCGTGAAGCGAGATCTGCTCTTCTAACTGCTCTTCTATCGTCCATTCGCGCTTAATGGCAGGCAATAATTGTTGTTTTTCAACGGAAACGGGCAAGATATACGTGTCAGATCAGCCACGATGCGTTTCACTGGCCTCCGGCCTATGATAATCTGTCCTATTCTATAACCGTTCGGTGAATATCATTAAATTTTAACGATCTATCTTATGGTATGTTGCGCGTCCTTCGCTGCATGCACTTTATCCACCTTCCTCTCCTTCTCTCTTCTCTATGCACGTGGATTTATCCTTTGCTCGCCGCTTCAAACGCCTCCGTTTCGAACGATCGATCGATCAGTTTTTTCCTTCGATCGATTCGCTCTTCCTTCCCGCTACTCTTTTTTCTTTCTTTCTTTTTCCACACTCCTGTTTCTGCCGCATTTTTAAACAGGATTTTTCTTAATTTCGATTTCTTCACGAGACTTTTCTTCTTTTTTAGAATTCTTTTTTTTACTTTAATTTCCTTTCTTTGTAAAATTATCCTCGATGTTTCGATATTTCGTTTCAATTTTGACTTTTCTTTTTCATTTCTTCTTCTTTCCTTCTCTTCTTTTTTATTACGTCTTTTGACGCACGAAGCGAGAAAGAGGCGTATTCCGTAGAGAAGTTGCAATCGAGTGTATTTAAATTATAAAGACACGGAGATGGAGGGATAAAAAAATGAGAAGAGAAAAATACAAGTCGACGTTTATATAAGTCGTTGTTCGAGGCAGTTTAAGGGATTAGAGGACTTTTTTCTTTTTTTTTTTAATTTGCAAACAACCGAAGGGGAAAGGGTTAAAGAGTTGGATGTACCCGAGAAATCCGGTCGTAAACGTGGTGGAAAAACGACTCAACTTTTAAAAAATCACTTCTTAACCCTTGCGCTACCTGCTGAAACAGGTTAAAAGATTTCATTTTTTTTCAGCTTCAGCTATTACACGGCTATCATTCTTTCGATTTAAATTTTTTCCCTGTTGAAAAAATGAGAATCTTGTTATCCCCAGCTCCAAGAAGTTGGAATAATTTTTATATCGATTCGCGTACGATTTTTTCCTTCGCAATAGCAATACGATTATATACGTTTAAATATTGGAATATTGGAACAAAGAACTGTTTCAAATTACAGTTAAAATTTTAATCTGTAATTTCAAAGAAAAAAAATAATAATTTTAGCTGGAAAATGTACAACGAAAAGACTTTTTGCAGTAAAGTAAAAAAGTAAACAAGATTTTTGACAAACAACAATCTCCAATCTAATTAAAAATAATCCAATAATCCAATTATACTATTAAAGAAATATTAGTACCCAATATTAAGACAAAAATCTCTTAATACAGATACCCCCAGACTTATTGTCGTTGATAAAGTATTTGAAAACGTATCCATTAATGTGAAACCGGCAATAAAACTGGTCAATGTTGGTGCATTCGATAAGACAACAATCTCTAAAACTTAAA